GAAGGGGGAATTGGGCCCTGCTGGGATGGGCAGGGGAGGCAGCAGGACAGAAACAATCCAGGCTTTGCAGGAATGTTTGAGAGCCAGGTCAGGACCAGACCTGGGGCCTTAGGCAGAAGCTTAATTCCTGTATGTCCCAGGAATTCTGCTCCCCTACTCATATCCTTTTGTACTAAAAGGCTGCAAACTCCAGACTTTAAAAGCAGCTCATCATCGTCACCGTGTTAATACGAACAGCACGGAGGCAGGAGAGCATCAATGAAATTGTCAGTGACACAGAACTGGGGAAATTGTCCATAAAAGGGGTCAGGAATACCAGGCAGGAGGGAGGGTTGGCCTGCCAGGGCAGTAAAGGTGGGATTTAATTTAACAGCAGAGTGAGTTGCAGGTGATGGTGAAGAGTTTCACCTGCAAACCAGGAAAAAATGGGGACAGATGTCCCCAAGATGTGTCATTCCCCAAAAATGAAGCGGTGAAGTGGTTGAGCAAAGCTCAGTGAGATCCAGTGAGGATTTTATGCCTACAGAAAATAAATGTAACCTCCAGTCAACTCCTTGAGATGTCTGCAGGGAAACAGGGCAGCAGCAGGCTCAGTGCAGGGCTCAGCACTTATGTTGGGAAGAGCAAACATAGGGAAAGTCAGCTGGAACACTGGGGGAAATGTTTTAGAAGGAAAGAGTAAATTATCAGCATTTTGTCTCCAGCTCAGTGGATCACTATGGCTTTGTACAAAGGCACTGAGGACAAAAATGATGGGTGAGCAGGGGGGAGGAGCAAGGCTGAGTCCAGCAGGGTGGTGACACCTTTCAAAGGACAGAAATCACATCTGAATAATGTGAAACAGAGGAACAGGGGCTGACAGGGCTGTGGGGGCTGGATCAGCCCTTCAGGGAGGGAGCCTGGGGGCTCTGGGGTGATGGTGTCAGTGGGTCTGATGGTGTGAGGGATGAGCTCCACGGGGTTTGTACCACCCTAGAACCGCCCGGGAGGCGGCCGAGGGTCTCAAGGCAGGGACAGGAGGGGTTTCTCCAAAGGGATTTCTAATCCCCAGCCACAAGCAGCTCTCCAAGTGGAAGCTGCAAACACTCACAGCTGTGGGTGGAGCGTTCCCCTTGTCTCAGCTGCGCTTTTCTCCTGCTCTGTTGCAGATTCCCGTGTCCAGAATCTCCCCGATGCCATTTCCTGCGGGCCAGGTCTCTCCCAGGGCACGCTTCCCCCTGTCCCTCAGCAGTCCGGGCAGGACAGGGGCCAGGACCTTGGCCGACATCAAGGCAAGAGCGCAGCAGGCCAAGGCTCAGAGGGCAGCGGCCGCCGCCGCCGCCGCCTCGGCCGGGGGAGCCGTGCCGGGGCCCGGCCCGGGCGGGGGGAGACCCCCGGGCAGGGGGGCAGACGGGAGAGACCCCGGCGGAGCCCCCCAAAGCGCAACTGGAGCAAACGCACTGGAACTGGCAGGAACTGGAAGCGGGGGAGGTTCGAGAAGGTTTCTTCCCCATTGCCCGGTGCCCCGTGCCCAGGTGGAGAGGCAGGCGGAGCCGGGAGCTGCTCGCCATCCTCCTGGAGCACAGCTACAGCCAGGGCCCCGGGCGGCAGCCCCGGCGCTAGGGACGGGCACGGGGGGCACGGGGGGCACAGCCTCCGGCAGCGGAACCCCGGGAGACACCGGCTGTGACCCCTCCAAAAGCCAATCTCCTTCCCCCCTGCTGTCCCCGCTGCCAGCCACGGGCCCCGGAGCCGTGCCCGTCCCACCGAGCAGCAGCTCCTCAGCAGCACCCAGCCTTAAATCTGCTCCCGGCGGGGCCCTGCCCAGAGCCAGCTCCAGCATTCCTGCCAACAACCCTTTGGTCACCCAGCTGCTCCAGGGCAAGAGCGTCCCTCTGGAGCAGATCCTGCCCAAGCCGCTCACCAAAGCAGAAATGAAAAGTGTCCCGGTGGCTCCTCAGGAAGAGAAGGGGGCAGCAGCCCCCGGTGCAGCGGGGAACGGCGCCGAGGCGGGGGACAGAGCGTCAAGTTTGCCCCCGCAGCAGCTCGGGAAGATCTTCTGCCAGAACAGGCCCCTGCCTCACATTCCAAGGACCTTCCCGCTCCCCTCGGGAAAGGAGCCCGCTCCTGAGCAGCAGCAGTGCCAGGAGGCGCTGAGCAAATCCACCCAGGAGCAGATCCTGCAGACTCTCATCAAGAGGGTGCAGAGGCAGAACCTGCTGCCCGTCCTTCAGCCCTCGCAGCTGAACCTCCCGCACTCAGGTTTCCCGGTGGAAAACAGCTCCACCAGCCAGAGATTCATGCTGGGCTTCACGGGCAGGAGGACGTCCAAGCCTGCCATGTCCGGGCACTACCTGCTCAACATCTCCACCTACGGCCGCGGCTCCGAGAGCTTGAGGAGAGGCTTCTCCCTGAGCGCCGAGCCCCGCCTGGGGCTGGCCGAGGGCGCCAGGGCAGAGCCCGAGGAGGTGATGGGCCGGGGCGGCAGCAGCAGCAGCAGCAGCAGCAGCGAGGAGGACGCGGACGACGAGAGCTCCGGGGACGAGCGGGAGCGCATCGGCGTCGAGGAGGAGCCGCGGGCGGGGCAGGGGGAGAAGGAGCGGGGCTCGCACGGCCCCACGGACCCCGGCTCCCCGGGGGCGACGGCCGAGGGGCTCCCGGTGCCGCCGGCAGCCGGCCCCAAGGAGAAGGCGCCGGCGCTGGACGGCAGCGCGCTGGCCCGGGACCTGCTGCAGGCGGCGCAGGAGCAGATGGCCCACGCCATCAGGGGCAAGGGCCACGGCAGCACGGAGCTCTTCGGGGCCCCGTCCCCGGACTCGGCGCAGCCGCCGCTGCTCCCCGCCCCGCACCCCCCGAAGCTGCCGGGGAGCTCCGGGCCGCAGCTCCTGGGGCCCAGCTACAGCGGCACCATCAACGTCTCCACCTCGCCCGACGTGGGCCAGGGCTCGCTCGTCACCGGGCTGTCCGAGTGCAACCAGCTGGCCAGCTCCATGGGCAACGTCATGTCCTTCTCCGTCACCGTCACCACCATTCCCACCGGGCAGGCCGTGAGCTCCGGCGGCCACGGGCAGAGCCTCCCGGTGCAGGCGTTCGCCGAGGACGGCGGCATGGAGGATCCCCCTTCCAAATGTTACTGCAGGTTGAAAGCCATGATCATGTGCAAGGGCTGCGGCGCCTTCTGCCACGACGACTGCATCGGCCCCTCCAAGCTGTGCGTCTCCTGCCTCGTGGTGCGGTAACGGGGGCGCAGCACGGCTCCCTCCGGGGGCTGCTCTCGGAAGTATCTTGGGAAGAAACAGGAATTTTACTGCCTTGCACAAGAGACACGTTACTGAATCAGGAATACGGAGTTAGAGTCCTTCTTTCATTAACGAAAGAGCACCTTCTTGTACAGGGAGTCGAAATCGCGCTCGACTACGTGAATTGTGACAAGAGTTTGCACTTAAGGAATTATGTAAATATGCCACAATATTTTGTTTAAAGATATTTTTTCAGTCTTTTAGGAGATAGCGTTTGACTTGTACTGCAGTTCCAGTAACCCCAGGCTGCTCTGAGCACGTTTGCTGAGCTCTGCTGTGCCGGGGGGATCCAGCCCATAGCCCGTTCTCCTGGCAAAGGGAACGGGATAATCCGAGTCCAGCCGTGTGTGGTGATGGAGCACCGAGCCAGGAGCCCTGAGCTCCTCCCTCGGCTGCTCCCAGTTCAGATCCCTGGGAACTGGGAGGCTCTGGCGATGCTCCGTTGCCTTTCCCGGTGAGCTGCCCGCTGCAGAAGGCTCCAGGGCTGTGCAATACGGGCCGGTGTTCCGGCCCTGCAGATCCCCCTCTCCCGGAGCCGGGGGAGGTGTCCGGCCGTGGAACTGCGAGGAGCTGTGCTGACCATGGCAGTGCCAGCGGGAGCAGGGCTCGCACAGCTCCGCAGGGATCTGCTCTCCTGGCCGTTCCCCAGGAGCTGGGAGCTGCCATCCCACGGCCCAGAGCCGGCTGCTCTTGGCACACGGGGACAGGTGAAGGGCACGGAGCGTCACCCCGGGTCCTGCCGCGCTCTGGGAAGCGTTTTGTGCTCATCCAAACACCCCCATGGTCAGACATCTCCACTTTCTATCCAAGATTTTATATTTCCTGAGTGTAGGGAAAGGCAAATGAGTGTCTGCCTGGGCCTTGCTGGGTGGCTCTTTGTGTTTGAAGTACCAAATTGGGCTGAGCTCAGCTCAGCTGAGGGAGGGGTGCTGGGACAGCCCCTCAGAGCTGGCTGGGGACAGCTGGTGGCACCTGTGTTCTCTGACAGTTCCTGGGTTCCTTCCCTTGGGCTGCAGGAAATCAAAGCACAGTGGCCCCGTGTTCCTGGGCTGATGGAGCAGAGTCACTCGAGGGCTGTTCCCCTCCTGGGGCAGGCGGGGGCCGTGCTGCATCCTGGTCAGGGAACAGAGCTATGTATGTTTTTTGATGGAAAAGCACTGAATTCACTTTTAATCCAAAGGCCTTTTTAAGCTGAAGCAATATTCCCAGAGCTGAGTGGTGCACGGGGTCCTCAGCCTTCCCTTCCCCTCTCCTTTGTACTACTGCTCCCCTCCCCTTCTCCCCGGGAGCCCGACACTGGTGGTGAGGAGCAGAAATAATTCCCTGGGTGATTTTCCAAGGAACGAGCGGTGCCCGAGGCTGCCGGAGCTCCAGGAGCGTTTGGACAGCGCTCTCAGGCACAGGGCGGGATTGTTGGGGTTTCTGTGCAGGGTCGGGAGTTGGACTGGATGATCCCTGTGGATCCTTTCCAGCACAGGATATTTCATGATTTAGTTGGTGATGACAAGGAAAATGGAGTTGCAGACTTGATCCCGTGGTAGCAGGAGCGTTTCCTTCCCTGCCCAGGGAGCGCGGCCGCCTCCGGAGCAGCAGGAGCTGCAGCATCTGGGTGGTGTCATCTCAAATCTGCTGCAGAGCAGTGACCCCCACTGCCGGGATTCCACATCGCTGCTCCAGCATCCCGTGGTGAGGAGGATTTAGGGATTAGAAATTCACTCCATTTTTTAAATCTAAGAAGTTGCACAAAATTGTCCCTACGAGCGTCTCACACCCGTACTGGTGGTGGTAGCCCAAGAACCCCCGGGCTGTGCCTGTTCCTGCCATTCCCTCTTGTTCAGGAAGAGGAGATCCTGTATTTTTGTAAAGCTGGGGAGGCAGTGCGGGCTGGTTTGGAGCTGAGAGCAGGATCTGTCCCTTTCTCCCTCAGGCCTCACCTAGACAGGAGGGAAATTCCTTCCCCCGGTCCTGGCAGAACTTCCATTCCTGGCTGGGGCAGCCCGGGAGAGGCCGAGGGCAGCTCGGTGCTGGGTACACAACAGGGACAGAGGCTTGAGAGGAGCCAGAGCTTTCACTGCACCCTTGGGACAGTTCTGTCTCTGCTGGGCTCCTCTCAGGGTGTTTTTCCAGGCTGCTGGAGAGGGGGAGGCAGAGGATGAGGAGGGAGCTGTGGCCCCGAGCACTCGGAGGGTTCGGCTGCTGCAGCTGCTGCTGGAAAGGCTCTCGCAGAGCTCCCTGGCCCTTCCCGAAGCGTCACCGGCCGCCTGTGGCCGCAGCCGGTTCCTCCTGTGGGATTTGCCGGCTGTTCTGCGGAGCACGGCCTGGGTTTGCTGTTCTGGAGCCATCCCACGGCTCCGAGTGGCCCAGGAGGGGCTGGCACAGCCGGGGACCCTGGACACGGAGCGGCCCCGGGTGGGATTGTGCTGCTGGCTCGGGACTTTACACCTGTCAGTGCCTTAGTTCCATTTCATGGATCAACACTTGGCTTGGGCTACTTTTCTTTCCGTTTCTTTTTAAGGAAATCAGTTCTTGGCGTGCTCTGAGGTTTGAGCACGCTCCTGGTGCAGCCTGGGGGAGCATCTCTGAGCGTGAGGAAATGGTTCAGGATAACGGGCTCGGTGTGACAATCCCTGCAAGCACTCCCTGGAGTAGGGATAAAGCCCTGGAAGTTCGGCTGCAGCTGGGTGTGGGATGATGGTTTCAGGAGGGGGAATCCTGTGGAGTTCTCGGGGTGGGATCAGCCCGTCCCACTGCTGAGGCTCCTTCCCACAGACGGTGAATCCACCTCCAGACGGGATCCATTAGACTTCGCTCCCCCAGGAATGAACTGAACAGCACTGCAGGGAACGGCGGCATCAGAAATCCAGGATTTCCAAAGCCTGATGTCGGAGTGTTTGTGGCAGGGAAAGGAACCCGGGGAGGGAGGAGGCTCCAGTTTCCCTTTCCAGGACACAGAACTGGAATTCGCTTCCCAGCCCCAAACCCCACGGACAGGCTGCGGCTCTGGGGGCGCAGGATTTGAGCCAGGTGGGCAGCAAGGGAAGGAATTTGGTGTGGAATTTTACTTTCCCTCCTGGAATTTACAGGAAAGAGGAGGTTCCAAGCAGTTGCACTGGTTTGGGGAGTTGGATTTTTATTTTTTTTTTCTGGTTGCACAAAACAGCTGCTGGAGCAGCAGTTCCTGGTCAGGTCCTTATGGGGCGGGGGATCCTCGGGGGAATCCTCAGGGGGATCCTCAGGGGGATCCTCAGGGGGATCCTGGGGGGATCCTTGGGGGGATCCTTGGGGGGATCCTGGGAGGATTCTCAGGGGGATCCTGAGGGGATCCTCGTGGGGGAGGCAGCAGAGACCATCCGGGGCAGGAGGGTGGATCAGAGCGGCTTTGGGGCTTCTCTCGTCCAGGGGGCTCCATCCGATGGTTCAGGTGCCGGGGTTCCCACAGCGGGAATGTGGGAGGGTCCCTGTGATGAGCACACCTGGTGTCACCCATGTGTCACCCGTGGGTCACTCGTGTTACCCTTGTGTCACTCATGTGTCACCCATGTGTCCCCCGTGTGTCCCCCGTGTGTCCCCCGTGTGTCCCCCGTGTGTCCCCAGGCCAGGAGCAGGAGTGGCCCCGCGGGCTCTCGGCCCTGGGCTGTTTTTAATGCTCCCGTTTGCTGTTGTGCCGAGCGAGTGGAATATCTTTACAGTAATATATTTACAGTAATATATATTTTAGTAGCTGAGAAGAGGGGACAGAGGAGGGGTTCCCAGCTTGGTGACAGGGTACCGGGGACAGTTCCTCGGCCAGGCCAGCGGGATTACTGCAGCACAACTGAAAAGGTTTCGGTTCCTGCCATTAATGCAATAAAAATGGGAATTCTCATAAAGAAGCAATCCAATACTGTTTCCCAGAGGCTTTTCCTGTGTGGACAACAGCCCTGTAAACACAGTTCCAAAAATCCTAAACCTTTGTCTTTTGCCTTTTTAAAAGGGACTTCGATTGGGCTTGAGGGTCTGTACAGCAAAATCGAGGTGACACCATTTGAAAATGTATTTTTACACAAATAATATAGAAAAAAATCATATTTTACATAAGAATTTTAAGTATTTGAAATATGTGTATATATATATACTGTATGTACTTCGTATATGCTTTATTTTACATTTTCAATGTATTAAAAAGTATTTGAGCTGGTTGGATCTGAGATGTAATAATGTTTGAAAACACAAAAACGAGGGAAAGGAGCCTGGGGGGAGAGCGGGTGGGAGCTGTGCAGGGAAGCACAAGCCCAGAGCAGAGGGTTTGGGGAAGGCTTTGGCAGTTTGAGAGCCATAAATTGTTCTGGTTTCCTCGTGACTGCCCAGGATGGAGCTGGGATTGATCCACCCCACAGCCATGACCCCACACAGCCAAACCAAACCAAACCAAACCAAACCAACCCAAACCAACTCAAACCAAACCAAAGCAAACCAAACCAACCCAAACCAAACCAATCCAAACCAAACCAAACCAATCCAAACCAAACCAAACCAATCCAAACCAAACCAATCCAAACCAAACCAAACCAAACCAACCCAAACCAAACCAAACCAAACCAATCCAAACCAACCCAAACCAAACCAATCCAAACCAACCCAACCCAACCCAAACCAAACCAAACCAACCCAACCCGACCCAAACCAAGCCAAACCAACCAAAACCAACCCAACCCAAACCAAACCAATCCAAACCAAACCAACCCAAACCAATCCAAACCAACCCAACCCAACCCAAACCAAACCAAACCAACCCAACCCAACCCGAACCAAACCAAACCAACCCAACCCAACCCAAACCAAACCAATCCAACCCAAACCAACCCAAACCAACCCAACCCAAACCAATCCAAACCAACCAAAACCAACCCAACCCAAACCAAACCAATCCAAACCAAACCAACCCAACCCAACCCAACCCAAACCAAACCAAACCAAAGCAAACCAAACCAAAGCCCGAGGTTTGCTCCAGCCCTGGGGTGGGAATAAATGGGCTGTTTCTCCACAGAATCATTTAGGTTGGAAAAGACCTCACAGCTCGTGGAATCCAAACTTTGGTACAGCCCTGCGGGAGCCTCTCACGGTGCCACGGGGGATTCAGACACCAAACCTCGGCCAGTGCTTCCAAGGGAACCCCAAACAGGGGATTTCTTTACCCTGCAGGGCTTTTGGTGCAAATCTCCCTGCAGAGGTGGATCCATCTGTGCAGCTCTTGGCACTGGAGGGAATTCCCGTCGGGAGGGGGGTCCCAGGGGGACCCTGAGAGCAGCTCAGGGGTCTGAGCAGACACAGCTCCATGTGCTGTAAATCCCAGCTCCTGGAGCTCTCCCTTGGGCCCTGCAGCACTGGGGTGCCCCTTTGGGAAGCAGGAGGAGAGCTGCAGCCCCGGAGTGCCTGGCCACAGGCTGCAGCCACAGTTCCTGCTGGAGCACGCTGGAGCTCCGAGGTGGCTGCAGTGGCCTCGTGCCCTGCTCTGCGCTGCCCTTCTTGGCTCAGGTGAATCCCAAATCACATTTATCCCATTGAATCCAGTGAGTGCTCCTGTGATCCCTCTGTAACCCAGAGCTGCGGTCAGCAGTTCTGTCCCTGGATCGTGCAGGGGAGGAAATGAGGTGGGAAAAGGAGCAGCGTGAACATGTCGGGGTTAAAGGTACAAAAACGAACCCCAGGAAGACACAGAACTGGAGCTTCTGTCCTTGGTGGTTTCTGGGATGTCCTGCAAAGTCAAACTGGCACCCTGAATTTGCACCCTGTACAGCCAAACTGGCACCCTGAATTTGCACCCTGTACAGCCAAACTGGCACCCTGAATTTGCACCCTGTACAGCCAAACTGGCACCCTGAATTTGCACCCTGCAAAGCTGAACTGGGAGCAGCTGAGAGCTGCTGGGACAGGACGGGCTTTAACCACCCCTGCACTGAGAGGGCCCCGCTGGGGCTGAGCACAGGCTGTGGAGGGCAGTCCCTGCCGGGCCTCGGCTCCCTGTCCTTCATCCCAGGCCTCACCATCCCAGCTCCCTCCCCTCCTGCAAAGCCACCTCGCACCTGAGAGGGAACAACAGCCTTGGGAGTTGATTTAAGGTACGTGGGTGAGATGAAATATGAAATGGTAAAGTGTTGGAGCTGCTGCACTTCCAAACAAACGTTCTTATTCCAGTGCTGCTGCTGCTGCATCTCCCAGCCCTTCCCTCCCAGCTCGAAACTGAACCAAACTGCTCTCCTGTCCCTTTCAGTTCAGGCTCCTCTGATGCCGATTTTGGATTTTACAGTGGCAAAGCTGGGCTGAGAGTTTCACCTCTGGAGGCTTCTGCTCCAGGCCAGATGGCAGAGATGTGATCCCAGGGATAATGCATGTGCTGCAGCTCCTGCAGGGCTGCTTCCCTGCAGGATGGATTCACCTGTCCCTTTGGCACGGGTGCTTCCTGCAGCCTCAGACACATTTAATCGAGGATGAGCCCACAGAACGACTCCGTGGGACCTCTGGGTCACTGCCAGCCCCCGGCCTGCCACAGGCTGCCACACTGAAAGCAGGAAAGGGCTGGGGTGTGGATCACCTTCAGCTCAGTGAGCTGATTCCTGGGCATTTAAACCAGCCCAGCAGCAATGCCTGGGGGACACACGTGGATATATATATCTATTTATTATTTTTTTATATATATGTGTGTATAAAATTCCACCTTAATGTCTCAGAGGGGGATCCGAGGGCTGCTCCCAACAGCCCATTCTCCACCTGGCACTGGAATATCCGTGCCCTCAGGACATGGCACCAGACAAAATCCTTCCCTGTGGCTCATGTCCTACCCCAGACTCTGTTCCTCCTCCTGCCACATTCCCTGTTTGGAAGGGAATTCAGGATCCTGTGGTTCCTCAGCCCTGCACACACGTGTGCTCCACGGCCATGGTCCATCTCCTGCTCACTGGAACTGTCTGGGGCTGTGATCTGAGGGAGGCTTTCAGGGATTTCCTTCTGCCTTCCCCCGACAGGGAACTGCACTTCCCCAGCTTTACAAGCTGTGGACATCTGTTAAATATTCTTTTGGCACATTTTAAGGGGAAAAAGTTGGTTTGTTACTTAGCCTTAATAAATTCTGCAGTTCCCTCACTTCTTGGGGTCCCAAGACACTTGAGGAGTATGGAACTGTAAATGTGGGGAAAGAAAGAAACAGGAAGAAATCTGTAACAAGCGTCAGGAACTTGATTTTCCTTAAAACGGAGGGAATTCACAGAAACAGGTGCGTAACCAATTCACCTGATTTCTGACAGGAAAACTCTGAATGCACTTAACAGCTCGATAAAATCAGCTCATCCTGGAAGAACCTGGGATTTCTTTTCCCTGAATACATTAAAAGTATCAAGAATTCTGTATTTTGAGTATGGAAGGGGCTGGAGACCTGCCAGTGGGAATAATCCACCCCAGCCCTCAGGCGGCATCTTGGTGGCATCACTAGACTTGAATTCATTCTCTTTTTAATCCGTGTGACT